CTATAAACTGACCTCTGAGCACTGCTTTTGCTGTGTCCCAAAGGTTCTGGTAGGATGTGTTTTCATTCTCGTTTGATTCTATGAATTTCTTTATTCCATCCTTAATTTCTTGTATAACCCAGTAGTTTTTGAGCAAGGTGTTCCATTTCCATGTGTTTGATTTTTTTTCCTTGCTTTTTCTGTTGTTGATTTCTACTTGTATGGCTTTATAGTCAGAAAAGATGTTTTGCATTATTTTGAAGCTTTGGATTTTGTTAAGGCTTGCTTTATGGCCTAATATGTGGTCTATTCTGGAGAATGTTCCATGTACATTGTAAAAGAAAGCATACTTAGCTGCTGTTGGGTGAAGTGTTTGGTATATGCCTATGAGATCAAGTTGGTTGATTGTAGCATTTAGCTGTTCCGTGTCTTTGTTGAGCTTCTTTCTAGATGTTCTGTCCTTCACTAAAAATGGTGTGTTGAAGTCTCCTACTACTATTGTGGAGCTATCTCTCTTTTCAATGCTGTTAAGAGTTTGTTTTATGTATTTTGGAGCCCTGTCATTGGGTGCGTAAATAATTATTATAGTTATGTCCTCCTGGTGTATTGACCCTTTAATCATTGTATAGAGTCTTTCCTTATCCTTTGTGGTGGATTTTACTTTAAAGTCTATTTTGTCAGAGATTAGTATTGCCACTCCTCTTTTTTAAAAGAGTGTTGTTTGCTTGATATATTTTTTTCCCATCCTTTGAGTTTTAGTTTGTGTCTTTACATCTAAGGTGTGTCTCTTGTAGTCAACATATAGATGGATTGTGTTTTTTTAATCCAATCTGCCACTCTCTCTTTATTGGTGCATTTAGTCCACCTACATTCAGTGTAATTATTGATAGGTATGAGTTTAGTGCTGTCATTTTGATGTCTTTTTGTGTTTTGTTCACACTTTCTTTGTTCCACTTAATTTTCTGTGGTGAGTCGTTTTTATGTATTTTATTTTCATCTTTTTATTGTTGTTGATTTTGTGTTTGCTAAGTCTTTACAGTTTTCTAATTTTTTATTTTGACTTATAGGATTGTTAGTTTCCTTTGTGGTTACCTTAATATTTACCCTAATTTTTCTATGTTTATACCAGTCTTTTATTTCTTCATATTGCCTTGACTTCCTCTCTATATGAAAAATCTATGTCTGCATTTTTTAAGTCCCTCTTTTTTTGTTTCAATGTTGCCATCTTTTACATATTGACATCTGTTTCCCTATTTTCAGTGTTTTAGGTTTGATTTCCTTTTGTAACTTCCCTATCTGGGTTGATATCTGGTTGTTCTGTCCTGTGTTCTAGTCTTGGGTTGTTCTCTGATGTCACTGATTTTCTAATCAGAGGACTCCCTTTAGTATTTCTTGTAATTTTGGTTTGGTTTTGCAAGTTCCCTAAATTTCTGTTTATCTGGAAATGCCCTAATTTCGCAACCATATCTGAGAGACAGTTTTGCTGGATATGTAATTCTTGGCTGGCAGTTTTTTTTCCTTCATGGCTTTATATATGTCATCCCATTGCCTTCGTGCCTGCATGAAGTAGTCTGAGCTTATTCTTACTGACTCACCTTTGTAGATGACTTTTCATTTCTCCCTAACTGCTCTTAAAATTCTCTTTATCTTTAGTTTTGGCAAGTTTGATTATAATATGGCTTGGTGACCTTCTTTTGGGATCTACCTTATATGGGGTTCAATGAGCATCTTGGGTATCTTGTCATCTTTCACGATATCAGGGAAGTTTTCTGCCAACATATCTTCAACAATTCTCTCTGTATTTTCTGTTATACCCCCCGTTCTGGTACTCCAATCACTTGTAGGTTATTCCTCTTGATAGAGTCCTGCATAATTCTCTAGGGTTTCATTTTTTTAAATCCTTTTATCTGATTTTTCCTCAAATAAGTTGGTGTTAAGTGCTTTATCTTCAATCTCACTAATTCTGACTTCCATTGCCTCAATTCTACTCCTATGACTTTTGACTGAGTTGTCTAATTCTGACATTTTATTGTTAATCTTCTGGATTTCTGATTGCTGTCTCTCTGTGGATTCTTGCAACCTGTTAAATTTGTCATTATGCTCTTCTCTAATGTTTTTAGTTTCCCCTATTGTGTTCTGCACTTTGCTTAATTTCCTTCCTAACTTCTTGAAGAGTTCTGCGTATTAATCTGTTGTATACTGCCTCTGGTAATTCCAAGAAATTTTCCTCCTCTGGAAAATTTCTAGATTCTTTATTTTGGGAGCTTGCTGAAGTCACCATGGATTGCCTCTTTATGTGATTTGATATTGACTGTTATCTCCAAGCCATCAATAAATTATTATATCTATTTTATGTTTGCTTACCGTGTCCTAGCTTCTTGTTTTGTTTTGATATGCCCACAAAGGCTGCTCGTATGAGCTAGTTTGATTATTGGCACCTTTGAAGCTCTAATGTCCTGTCACCAGGTGGTTAGATCTGTTACTAGGTATGTGAGCTCAGGAGTCTGCCCACTCCTCCTGTGAATGGATTCAGCTCAGGTGCCCAGGTAGACAGCCACCGATTGTGTGGTATAGGCTCTCACTTACAGTCCTAGACAGGTATGGGTGATTGGTGTAGGCACAGGCATCTGGCTGCAGCAGGGGGACACACTCTGAGCAAGGCAGGGGACTGACGGCTGCCCCAAGTGTCCAGGAGGAAGGCAAGTCCCTGTTCCGTAGAGCATGTAGGTGGATGGGTTTTGCAGCCGACTATGAGCACCTAATGCTGTTGGCTGTAAGGACTGGGGGGGCACCTCTTATTCATGGGCCCCTCTTGCAGGTGGCTAGGTTGTATGGGTGGAGCCACCAGTCCTCAGGCCCCTGATGTGGGTAGGTGAAGACCCTGCTTAATGGGCAGTGTCGAATGTCAAGAACCTGCCACTTCACAGCTGAAATAGTTGAAGTTAGAGTTCCAATATATACCCTGTTGTACTGCAGTAATGAGAGCATATGCTGTTGAGATGGGCCCACACAGGTCTATGCAGGGGGAAAGGCACTCACAGTCTGTGGATCCCTTATGCCTGTGACTAGGCAAAGGAGCTGGGCCTACCCTGGGTTTCTAGTTTAGGGAAGCCGGCAGTTTATTTTTTCCCATTTGTTAACTTGTTCACTCTGTAAGGCAGGGAGAATGGCTCCAGGTGTGTGAAGGATCCTGCTTCCTGCCCATGGGACTTGGCAGTTGCTGAAGCCAGTCTGGGACCCCGTGCAGAGCACGGAGCGGGGAGGTAAATGGGAGAGAGGTTTTTCCCTAAGGTGGGTGTTTCTGATCTGCACGGTCAGCCGATATGGCTCCATTTTTGATGGAGCTGACCTTCAAATGAAAAGGCAATGGATCAATATACATTTCCAGCTGCCTACTGTGAAAAAATAAAGTCAGCTACTGAAGCCAATTCACTAG